CACTGTTTAAATTGTTGAATTGAGAATTATTTTTCGAAATATCGCCATTTTTAGGTCAACAGGAAGTCATGTTAGGCACTGAATAAATCGGGCAATCTAATTGGACAATACGTTTTTAAAAGTTTGAAATTGGGCGTACGGGTCCGCCGGCAGTTGTGAGAGACATTTTAGTCTCGGCGGACGCGTCCGTCGGCAGCACGCTAAAGGTTAAATGGTCAGTTGACAAAATTTTGAGAATATTTCTTCGCCAATCACAGAGGTATTTCTGAAATTTCCGAGGTTGCTATTTCATGTCTGTCTTGGTACAATATAGAAAATTGTAATGGTACTGAATCAAAGTTTTCTAAAAAGTAGATGTAACTGATGAAACTTCAGGATCTTTTTCATTTTTAAATTGATCTTTTAAAAACTAAATCTTTAAATCAGAAGACCAAATTTCCAGAATATTCATTCATTACTTACAGAGTTAACTTCTTGTTAATCTCTATAGAATTTTTTTTGGGACACCCTGTAGATCCTATAGATAGACTTAAAATGATTTTGAATTTAACCTGATATGAAAGCAGTTTTAATTTGACCACCAATATTGATGGACAGACCAAAAAACAAAATGACGTAAAGTGAACCACCTGACCTCATTGGTTCTGGTGTCGTTTGCAAATAAGCTGTCGGGTTACTTCGTTAATATACTGCCAAAAGATAGAATTTAAGTTGTCAAAAATATAAGAATTTTTAAGCCATTTTTAGCCATTTTTTAAACAGAGATTCTTAACCATTAACGCTCTCAAGAAAGGTAGAATTTTGTTGTTAAAATTACATTATTGCTTTTAGTACCTATTTAATTGGTCCTTTCAGCAAATCCAAAGAATTTAGATCATTAAAATACAACTGAAATATTAAAAATGATGACGATATAATCATGTAAAAAAATAAACTCTTCAAATAATAGTTTATAAATATTAGAATTGTTATAAATGTATTGTTATATTTAAGAATACAATAAGAGTCTTTTCAAATAGCCCCCATTGGTAAAAAATATAATCAGTGACAAAAATGGTGATTTTTTGATCAACCATATATTTTAACTTACACGACCAAAAAATAAAAAAAAATATGAAAATCATGACTTACTGAACTAAACCGTCCAAGGAAGGCTAAAATAAAACAAAATTGCAAATCTTGATGCAAATAAGAACCTCCAATAAAATGCAAAATTAATATTATCAAGTATCCTTACCCTCTCAATATGTCCTCCCAAAGTGCTATTCCTGAATATATCATTAGTGATCCTCTTGCTATCTTATATACATATATATATATTATATCATACATAGACTCCTCTTCATATTAACATGTGCAAGACAATCAAGAGATGTGAGGCTACTGACTTCATTCATGGGTTTTATACTGCACTGAGAGTAATTATTATATATGAATGAGCAAAAGCCACCCCTGCACATAAAGACGTCAATTGAAGATCGCTTAACGTATGTACACCCTACCAAATTATTAACAAGCCGTCAGAAAAATTGACTCTTTTGATTGACAAACCAGGAACTGTTTGTAAAATCCTGAAGCTGTATACATTTAAAAAAGACTATCAACCCTCATGTTAACAAAGGAGAAGGCAAAGATAATGAGATAGAGATGGAATTTTTGATAGATGATCACAATTATTTGAATGTATAACTAGGGCTAGGAATCAGTAGGTAGATTTCTAATAATTAGCATGAAGAATGATGTAAAAATTGTGAATCATTTTTAATGGATTATCAGTAACAGGACACAGTAACCAAGAATAAAGTGTTTATTGGAAAATTCTGAGAATGCATGCTGCTGATAAAATAATGTAACCTCACCGTGTAAGGTGTGTGTTTCTTATACCCTTTTAAAAAGTTGATTTTGTATCTTCTAATCGTTGACCTTCAAGGTATGTTTCCAACAACTTCAACAAATTTGACGAAATGCTTTATTTTTAAAGGCCCCATCTAAAGTTTCATTTTGGCTTATCAAAATGAGACACATGAAATTTTTTTTTATTTCAAAAAGTGGTTTTTGAAGGTCTTCGGGAATATTGTTTGTGAAAGATACACAGGTATTCACCTCAATAGAATGAAATGAATGAAATATAAGCATGACCTGAGAAAAGAGAAATAACATGTAATATACAAGACCTAATAGAAGTTAACATACAGGGAGAAATCTTGTTTCCTGCTTATTTACCTCATTTGCAATCAATAACAAACTGTACTGCAAGCAATCCAATAAACATTGGTGTCTCGAACCTATTAAATCATCTTTCCAGAATCATACCTATTTCTTTGGATTTCTCTCTGAAATTTGAATGAACACCTTGATTTTCTTGCATATCTGTATAATTTTGAATATTGACTACACGCCTCTTTACTTTATTCCTTTTTATTTCTATTCTTTATCACAACATTTTGAATTTCAAAACATGACCTTTATGATATTTTCTCCACAGGTTTCGAGAGCACCGATAACCACAAGTAAATTAGAACTGGATTTACACGCTTGTTACACGCTCTAGTTTTTAGACATCAGCTTAGTGGTTAATGACCGTATTCAATAAGAAAACAACCTGTTGCAGACTGCACTTCTAGGGACACCTCAACCGTATCTAGAGGTTTGGTTGTCCAGGGGATAAGTTGTCCACTTATTATCACTAAATATTGGAAAAGGTGAAAATGACACCATTCAGTGGTCACATGGTGAGATATGTGATATTTTGATAATAAAAACCTGATTCACTCCAAAATGAGACAGAAGGAAGAACTGGGACTTATGGTATAAATAAATAATCAGTATGCACCCCATAAAATAAAATGTGAATAAGACATTTAAGATGGACAGACAGACAAGTGGTAGATTCTACTAGCTTCGCAGATAAGACAAAAATGAGAAAAAGACATGAAAGATTACAGCCTTCCTTTCTAAAATGTTAATAATTTGAAAACAGAAAGATGTAATGGCTATCAGTGTCAAACAACAATATTAGAAAATCACAAAGTATACACAAGGCGTTGACATGCAAAATGTCACCACCTATCATTTGTTACAAGACATCAAACATCAACTGCCAATCACCTTCCACAAAAAAAGTTGGGAGACCACAACCATATGGTGGTGACATAAAAATAAAAATGTCTATCCTGTTAAAAAAGCAATTATAAGATTTTAAAAAAAAATTAACCAGATATTTTTCGAAAGAGCAATTTATCATTGTTTCTTTTTACCTAGTTTTATTTACATTTATTAACTGCATATCTCAATAGTTTTTGTTTTTTTTATTTGTTTTTTGAATCAACTTAACAAGCAGTAGAATCCCCTAACAAATCTTTTTTTTCAAATGTTGGCTTCTTCATGGTATCAATGCAATGAAAATGTTATTCATAAAATTAATTTGCAATTCAAAGGTCAACACAAATATATTGACATTTAGTTTAAATTCCCAATTTTCCAAATATAAATTTTACCAATATGACATAGTTCATTCTAAAAATACCAACCAGTATTCAACCAAATCAAGGATCCATAACCACTATACAGCTCGCACAGTGGTTTTTTAACAAATTAATTGTATACAGAGAAAAGGAAATCTAACTTTTTGCCCAAATTGCAGGAGTACATGTCCAAAGCTGTTATTCATGAGGTTGTGAATTTTTGAGGGGTAGTCCTTACACCATATTTTTATTAGAGAAAATGTGATGTTTAAATCATCAAAATCCAATTTTTTTGCAAATTATGAATTACCCTAATATATTTTCACAATTGGCTGTTCTCTCCACCATTCTCCTTCATAAGTTATCTTAATATGCTGGTATTATATTTAGCTGTTATGTCCCTATCATCGAATATATGCCTAAGGTCTGTCACCAATATAGCCCGAGCTTGCGAGGGTTATATTACGACAGACCGAAGGCATATATTCAATGATACGGACATAACTGTTGTATTACATACTTTTATATCATGGCTACGTTATATCAATGACGCCACGTGTCTATGTGCTAGTGAAATTAGGAAGAAATGAAACTTGACGTCCCGATGACGTCATAAGATTGTCATGGTAAAAGGTTTGGCGGCTATACAGGAATATATAGCCGACCTTCAGCTCCATTGACTTCAATACAAATGCTTCGCTGGGTATGTAATACTATATTGTAAAACCTCTCTATATAAACACATGACTTTCTCTAAAACTAATTAACATGTACACTGATGATTATTACATATTTAATTGCATCAAGCTTCTGCCCCCCCCCCACCCATTATCTCCTTTATATGTGGAATTCAAGTGTAGAGTTAAGGTGTGTGTAAGGAGGGGGCCACCAAGTGCTTTAAAACACTCAATATAAACACATTTTTACCAGCACCGCAATAATTAGTCTGGTATTAAGCCCTTGTATACTCCCTTTCATCACAAAACAGGCCTGTAGTCAGGGGGGGGGGGTTACCAAGAGGGAGTTTTTGCCTGTTCCCAAGGGGGGAGCTTGTGAAAAGTGCTCTGAATATAGAAAACTGTATGATTTTGAGAAGATTTCCAGGGGGGGGGGGGGGGGGGGCGGCCACCCTCCAATCCCCCTGGCTGGGCTTGCAATACAGTGAATCTTGTATATCCAAACACCTCTCTAATCCAAACCCTTCTCAATGTGAACACATTTTCTCGGTTCCATATTTCTTCCATTGACCTAAATGTTAAAAAACCTTGAAATATGAGCACCTGCTAGTTTTGGCTGGTCCCAGAGATATTTGGATTAGACAGGTTTTACTGTACATACTTTCTACTCACCAAAATAGAACATAGGTGGAGTAAAGGCCTGACCCAAAGGCCTGCAGTGCTCAGTTAAGAATGTTTTACTGTACAGCATATCAGATAGGGGCAATATTATATCTGGAGCAGATGTATATAAAACTATTAATAATTAGTATTTTCACACTGAATTAACCTATTATGTTCCATTCAGAACAAGAGGACATATACATTTACCTCAGTAGGGACCCAGGTAGGGGAACAGTTCTTTTGGCGATCATAGTTAATGATATTTGCAATCAGTTCATTCAAGTGTGACTAAGAGGAGACACATACCAAAATCAACCCATTGATTCAGTTACACATTTGTACATTAAGCCAAGAGATAAGCTGGATTTGGATTATATTTGGATATATAAAATGTAAGTATTTTACTGTTTATTTAGCTGTTTTAACAGTTAAAACAATACACTGTGAGTATCTGAAATATTATTGGATAGGGACAAACATGTTAAAAGAAATACATCAATATCTTGGGGTCTTATCTGCAAGGTTTATTTTGTCATGAAAAAAAATAAAAACATTTTATGCATTCATTTTAATTGATTCTCTTTACAATTTAGGGTTAGCTATATTATTATATTAGCTATCATATAACGTTTTGGAAAGTTTTGACAAAAAAAGAAATATCGGGTGGGCATAAAGAATGGACAGTACTTTGATACTTGTTTACTCTGAAACCTATTCATGTCTGCTTCTAAAATTGTACACACTCAAAAGCCAGCATGTCCTTAATATGCAGACCAAAGGAGTTAAGTAAACAAGCAACAGAGCCTGCCCCAATTGAAGTGTGAAAATCTTTTTATAAGAATCGAAAAAAAAATCAGAAATGCTAATACTGAAGTTCATATTTTTGTGTACAATGAATAAAAATATTGAGAAAAATTTTCATGCTGGGTCTAGAGACCTTTAAGGAGGTAGGGGTCAGAAGGAAAATATTTAAAGAGATTTTGCACCAGTCTTGATCAAATCCAATTTACTGAGCTTCGAATGAATGTTTATGATTTATCTGTCCAGGATTCTATAAACATAATTTTGTTTGTTCAATATATACCGTTTAAACAATATGTGCTGTTCGAAGGTCAGTAAAGCTTTGAAAGGACATCCGAGCCTGAGTCTAGGTGACAGTTTCATTCACAGGAGGTAGTTATCATTTGAGTGTTTTCACATTGTATTACAAGTCTCCACTCTAATTAGTGCTTCTTTACTTACATTTATGTTATATTGTTGCATACAGACAATGTTTTTGAAGGAGACAAGTTATGCTGTATATGTTATAACTGTTATCTAGATTCAAAAATATATTAATTTTAGAGCGCTCTGATATTGCTTTAATGCTATGCCAATATTTTGGTTTATAGAGTTGACACTGGATTGATTTCATAAATCAAAAATGCATGCTCCGGACATTTCAAAATGACGTCTTTCTGAGTTTCACTTGAAAATGTGGTCAATTGGTCCACCTAAATCTAAAGTGCTCTCCGAGGGGGGGTCATTGAGCAGCTTGATCAGTCATTGTGGTTACAAATTAGCCATGAAATAACCATCATGATAAACCATGACATCTCATTTCTTCTCAGCCCTGAGATGTTTCAGGTGAAATAGAAAGATGCTATGAGTATCAGAATGTGAAACAACACATTCATCACAGATACTAGTTTTCTGCATGAAAAATTCTGCAAAAAATTCTGCAAGAAAAAAAGCAAATTCTACAAGGAGAAAATCAAAATTCTGCACAATTTTCAAAAAAAGTCTGCAATTCTGCAATCTATCCTATCCATCGAAAACAGAAACGGAAGTCAGCTACTTTCTAGGTAAGAACTGCGCGTCATTAGCGAACTCGCTTTAGCGAATTTAAACGTGATAGAATGTTGAATTTCACGGTGAAATCGTACTTGTACTCAATAATGATTGATTGTTGGACATAAACAGACACTCTTCAAATACCCCGCAAAGGTAGGAGATCGTAAAATATGTAATTTCTGGAAATTCTGGTAATTCCGCGGGATTTTCAAGAAAATCAGGGATTCTGCAAAAAATTGAAGTTTTGTCAAATTCCGTCCACGCCGCAGAATTACGGAATACTAGTATCTATGATTCATTGAAGCAAGCTATTTTCTAAGAGTGCCCACTTTCAAGCCACGATTGACCGTTCATGAACAGAAACTCCTCCATAGAATAATGTATATTTTAATCCAATCAATTTTCAGTAAACCATGCAAGGCAAACATGTAATGTTATCCTACCAATTTGCTCAACAAAGCATGGTTGAGGGAGTATATGATGCTCTTAAAGCTAAAGGAATCCCAGTATGGATGGCCCTTCATAGAGACATGGCAGGACAACTTCATGAAAGGTAGGTACTGTAGCATGATAACAACAATTAACCCTGCTCAATATAGTTTTTTCGACTGTAATGCCTACGTCACATTTGCTCCGATTGTCAATACCGGCGGACATCCAATGAGTATTTTTTTTTAAACTAAATGTCATTTTGAACAAAAAACTCATCAGTCGGGCACTGGTTATAAAAAAATGGTATTGATTTTGACATTGTTTTGGACAATTACTTTATAATGATAATTCAAATTTTAATAGTTTTAATAAAAATACAGAAAATAATATACAAAACCATTTGTCTGTTTGTGTGTCAAATTGAAAATAGCGAACCATACCCGAGACACAGCTTAGATGTAGTCTTGCCTTATAATCTATGATGTCATAGAGAACCTTTATCAGTTGTTTAAAATGAAATATAAATGAAATATGAAAATTAAAATTAAAAATATAAATTGAAATATTGCGAAACTAAATAATTTTGTTATTAAATTGTATAGGACAATAATAAAAAAAATGCTGCATCTTTCTAGTCTCTGACAATATTTCCAGTACCCTCTATGGTGTTGAGAATGCCATGGTCATCTGCTGTTTCGTGTCAACAAAATACCAGGTAGGAACCACTTACTTTGTCCTTAAAAGAGATCAACCGGGATTTTTTTTGGAGCAAAGTTTTACGAGACTATTCAACCCAAAATTGATAAAAATGAGCCAGGCCACAGGAAAAAGGGTCTTATCACAGATTTTTTCAATATTCTTATTTTTTGTTTATCTTAAAAAGCACAAAGAGACCTTTCAAATGAGCCATGACTTATGTTTTTACAATTTTTCCTTGCATATATAGACCAAAATGTCGGATTTGAATTTACTGTAGTACATTTCCCTCTTAATCTTGGGCATAATTTTGGCTCTATAGAACAATTTTAATTTTTGTGATAAAACCGGTTTTCCCATGGCCAGGCTCATATAACATTGTTTATGAAAACATGATAGTGTACCTTTTATCAAGGTTTTTAATGAATGGATTTATATAAGAGATGTTTGCTGTTGAAATATTTCCAGGAATCATGGAACTGTAAAACAGAACTCAGTTATGCATATTCATTGGACAAGTGCATTATTCCATGCATGACTGAACAAGGCTTCAAGGCCAGTGATTGGCTAGGAGAAATTACAACAGGCCTAGAAGGAATAGACCTCGGGTAAGTGGGGGTTAGAAGAAGTAGACATATTCAGTAATGAAGCATTCAAGTTACAAACAAAAATTGAATTCAGTTTGAAAAGGTTTTAATTTGTGCGCCCAATGTTGATGGAAAAATGGATGGACGGACCAAAGAAAGGACGCCTAGTTAATCCCATCACTGTATGAGCCAAAAATGATGGCTTTTTCAAATCAAATGCCTATTTTAAAGAATTCCTCTAAGTCAAAGGTCCTTCGCCAGTAATGCATCAACTTACAGGATTCAAACCAAATTGTATTACTGGTATGGGTTATCATTGTTTTTAAAAAAATAGATTGTTTTGAATAGAGTCACAGATATTAACTAGATCTTGTTATACCATGAGTTTGGACGGTGGCATCATATCCAAGGCACTGGCTATATATATGCGGGAGCTTAGTTCAGTGGGATAATAAAGCATGTATAAAATAGATATGTAATATTGATAATTTGATCATTTTTATAGCTGTAAGTTTGAATCATAATTTCAGAGAAGAGGCCGATGATCCAAATAAAATTAAATCACTCATCAAGGAGATCATGTATCAAGCTGGACAAAAAAAATCAAAAAATATTCCAACACCAGGATTAAAGGAACAATCAAAGGCAGAGGAACAAACAATAGAAGAACAAACAATAAGAAAGGCACAAGCAACGACAATGGCTGTGGCCTCGTGATCAAATGAAGTCACAAACTGAGAAGATACTTGGACATTTGAAAACATTTGATACATCAGGAAAGTAATGAAACTTTCCACCTTTCCCACTAATGAATTCTTGTAATGCCACTGACAACTCAGAAAACCAGATAAATTCATAAATAGTTTGAGTAAACCATCATCTTAATTAATCACCATCAGGTTCTTATCACCATCATGAATTTAAATCTCACATTCATTCATTCTTCTGATGACCATCATCATTTTGTCTCTCACATTCATGTTCCAGTCATGTTCTTGCTGTATTTGTTTTTATATATCTGAATGAGTCTGTTATGAGGCGATGATGATTATTATATATTTTGTTTACTATTTATTTATTAATTTCTGCAATAAATACTCATCTGCCGAACATGGAGAAGAAGGAACTAATAGTGGATGATGTCTGGAACCCTGCGTTTGGAGGATGTAAATTAGATTAGATAGGGGCCAAACACTGAAAGGAGCCCCTAAAAGTGGGTGTGGAATATTTATTTGGTTATGATAGCAACGCTGTCTCGGATTCAGAATTGCCAACATCATTTTTCTTGATCAGTATCACTTCTAGTTTATGAAAACATATGTCGCTTAGCTCGCCTCTTAAAAGGACACAGAACCTCTTATTAGGACCTTTGCCCCTAGACTAAATGCTGAAAAAGGTAAAATCAAAAAATTAAATGAAGTATAGAAAAAAAGTTTCAGGGATGAATTTGTATAACAATAAAAAGAGAAAAGAGAAATAAACACATTTTCGAAAGAAGATTGTGGGAAATATGGAACTTCTGACATCAAAATATTGCAATTTCACATTGTTTGAATCCCAGAGATAAATCTGGTGATTAATTTAATTTATATGCACAATATATTTTGTAAAATAATTGTTAAGTTATATCTGCTGTTCAGTTTTTACTAGTCTCGCATAAAGTCTCTGGAACCACCACCCCCACCCAGGTGCATCATAGATCATTTTATGGAGACGGGACATATAGGGAAAAAATAAGCGAGGAGAGGATAGCAAGGGGTTGATACAAAACTGTGTTTTTTCCTGGTAGTGTGTCAGATGGGCGTTTCTTGATAATATGCTACATATTGATTATGGCATAACTCGTGCCATGTTATGAACAATGTATATATTGATTGTTCATTTTGAAATAAGTACTTTTGTACTTTTTATTGAGCAATCGGGAAATCCAAAGAGTCCCTCTTAATCTAAAGCTTGTCAGAGATTATGCTCTTTCCAGAGATAGTAGAGATCTCAGAACCCACAAGGTATTTCAAACTGAAGCATTTGGTTTTAAAATACAGTGGAAGTATGTGTCAACAATCAGGAATAAAATAAATAGGGACGTAGTCAACAGTGTCAGTACTTTAAATTATATAAAATACTCAGAAATTCAGACAATTTATCTAAATATCCAAGTGGAAATGCACCAATCGGGCCATCCGGCGGAAGCAGTAGACGTGGGCAGAGGATACTATAATAGACATGAAGCACTCATCATTACTACAATGGCTACGTAATTTCCCACATTACACCCAGCCGTTGGGGACAACCTATTTAAAAGGAAATAATGTCAAGCCCTTGACATCATAAAAGGAAACATGTAAAACCATGCAGGAATATTGGTGAAAATAAGCGTGCGATAAAAAAATTAAGGAAAATATCATGGAATGGCAAATTGGTCTGACTGACAATAATAATAACATAAAAAAAAATTAGCAACGTTTGTGACGTACATTCATATAGTAGGTTAATTCATTGTTAACATAAATTGATCATTGAGACATTTCATGTTACTAAATGTAATTCATGGGTATAACTTGCCACACACTTTCTTTTGAAACGACAAACAAAAAGAGAACAATTTGCTAGTCTTACTTGAGCATGTACCGTTTTTATTCCACAAGAAAAACCCCAAAAAATGCCAGTAAAACAACATTTGTTCAGTTTTTCCTCATAAATTCTCTCTTCTCTCAACAGAGCACCTACTGACTGTAACATCTGGCAGAACCCACATTTTGTTTGTTTTGAACCACACTTTGCACTATCAACTTTTAACTTTAAATTGGACATACAACATTTAATATTTCCTTGACGATGCACCTACAAACTCTTAAAGTAGGACATACAACATTGAATATTTCCTTGACGATGCACCTACAAACTCTTTAAGTAGGACATACAACATTCAATATTTCCTTGACGATGCACCTACAAACTCTTAAAGTAGGACATACAACATTTAATATTTCCTTGGCGATGCACCTACAAACTCTTTAAGTAGGACATACAACATTCAATATTTCCTTGACAATGCACCTACAAACTCTTAAAGTAGGACATATAACATTTAATATTTCCTTGACGATGCACCTACAAACTCTTAAAGTAGGACATACAACATTTAATATTTCCTTGGCGATGCACCTACAAACTCTTTAAGTAGGACATACAATGTTTAATACTTCCTTGGCGATGCACCTACAAACTCTTAAAGTAGGACCTACAACATTTAATATTTCCTTGACGATGCACCTACAAACTCTTAAAGTAGGACCTACAACATTTAATATTTCCTTGATGATGCACCTACATTAAACAAAATTTAGTAAGACCAACATTTCATGTTTCTTTGCCTACAGACAACAACTAAAGGACAGGTGGCGGTAAACCCCTCTTATAGCCCCCCTACAAAACAAGTATATATTGACATGGAATTGAAGAGGAAGTATGACTCATTACTTAAAATGTGATTTCTGAGAGTTTTGACATTTGACCTTGACACTAGGGTGGTTTAAAGGTCAACTTTGAGAGTTGCTATTTTTGTCAAAATTTTACTGTTTCTAATCCAAGAAATGAGAGCAATTGGCTTTATTTTGATTGTGACTGATAAAAAGACATGTGAATAGAAATAAATTTTTTTAAATAAATTATCACGGGCAATTACCTGAAAATCTTGAGAATAAATACCGATGTGGGCATTTTTAGGGGGACTAAATTTTCTTGTTTCAAAAATGATTGCTCTTGTTGCCTTTTGAGACTCTAACAGTATCCTAAGCATGTTTTAAGAGTTGAGATGTGATTATTATTTTAAATGCCTATGGGCAATTAGGATAAAATGACTGAAATTAAATGCACACAAGGGCACTTCAAAAAGAATGGATTTTCTTATTTCAATTGTTTCTCGCCAGTTTTCTAAACATGTTTGCCATATTCTAAATAGTTATCGGGTCACTTTTACTAAATGCCCATTGGCATTTGGCATTTTATTTGGCATTTGAAATTAAAATGTTTGAATGTACACTTACTTTTAAAGTTATTTGCCAACTTGCAGTTCCCATATTTGAAACACAGATAATTCAGAGAAATCCTCTCTCAATATATATCATAAAATATAAGGCAGCATTTTGTATGAATGGCATGACACTCAAAGGATTGCCTAAAATAATTTCTACTTATTTCCTATTTAGAAAAAACACTTAGGCCATTCAAATATTTTCTTATAATAATGTCACTAACTTCTATGTTTTCAGAAAAAACAAAATGTCCACATGTACTCTCTACTTGTAATGTATATAAATGACAAAGGGAATTGTGATCTTGGATTATATTGTAGCGAAATGAGTTCCAAGATTGATTAAAAACTACATGTATATAAACTTCATTAACAAGGTCATCTGAACTCAAGAGGTGTGTTACTTGCTTTGGCACAATGTGTTATTGCATTTTCACTCTTAAATAATATATAAAACCCTTTAAATAAATGAAGGTTTTGTAGTTTTTAATATAAGGCTCTTCATCAGAATGCCAACATATAATTAATTTTGGATGGCCTAATCTGTACATGCAGTTATGTAGTGTACATGTATGCCCAGGTTAGCAGCCATATTGAAAACATAAACCAGTCAGGCTTATTTTCATCACAAAAGTTAAGTTTTAGTGGTGAGCCCAAACTCCCACAAAAATGATATTTGCAAAGAAGTTACTTTACAGTCTCTGCATTATACAGTTTCAATATATTTTTTGTGGGAGTGTGGGCTGACGGTTAATTTTTCAATGAAAGGGAATGAGCACCATGCTAAAACTTGATAACAAAGTGAACGAAAAATGACAATGTTTTCTAGATTTCCATAGGTAAACTACATACATCGCTTGATTTTGTCAATTTTCTTCTCCGAATACTTGTATGCCATATGTTCCATATATCAAATTCTATATAATGATAAGTTTTGATGGTAAACATAATGTGTACCCATATTCAGACAGCCTTGTGATAGGGGTTCTTACTGCCAATTTTTCAAAGAAACTGAGAACTTATGCCACTTTTTGAAATTGCACATCTCAAGAAGAAAGGTTTATCTACGACTTGCAATCGGTTTTAAAAGTAAATGGAAGAATGAGTTTTTCAGAAAAAGTCTAAGTGGACCAATAGTCTGTTAAATGGACCTGTTCTTTCTTATAGTTCCTTTGATGAAGTATCTGTTTATGATCTCCATCTACTTGTTTGGATTTTAATTCAACCTAATAATTGTTTTTGCAGAAGTCTGCAGTATTTTGTATTTGTTTCTGTTTATAACCATAGCATCCATCTCCCTCAACACCCTCCCTAATCAACTGCTACCATGACAATATTAAAAACACATAATATTACACATAAATACTAAATAAACACATAATAATTAGCAACTGGACTCCTTCAGTAAAAAACATTTCGATAATATGTTCTTCCCATAACAACATCCTCCCTACCCTAAGTTAGACTTAAAATAGTCTTTAACCATGTCATCCACCTTCCTCCCATAACAACATCCTCCCTACCCCCATCTGCTACCATGACAACCACTACACATTTATATATAAATAGAAACATTATACCTAGCAACCACCTTTTTTGATAACTCTTTGAAATTTTTCTCTGATTTAGTATTTGAGAAAGTTGCTGTCTGATTAAATGATCACATAGAAAGTCTATGACACAGGTCAATGATGAAAAACAATACCCACAGAAGAGATTTGATGAGAGAAAAGAGGAAGAAGCTAAGACTAAGAGGCCTGCAAAACGTTTCACATTGCACTGGGATAATGCTCCGTCTCACAATGCTATTCTCATGGTACAAACCATTGAAGCACTGGGTTTCCCATTGTTAGATCATGTACTATTCTCTCCTGACTTGTCCCCTTATGATTTTACCTTCATGGTGAGCTGAAGAGGAGTTGAGGGAGTTTCTCATGGGAAGACTTGAAGTCGGCTGTTTTGAAAATTTGCAGGCTATGGGAAAATGGGTTTAAAAAGGTGTTCAAAGACTGGAGTAGAAGACATGAACTATATGTTAAAAACAAAGGACATTAAGTAGCAGTTATGAAGTATGAAATAAGAAT